TTCCTATAGTCTTGTAGAACTTGTTTGAATAAGGAGGATTCAAACTATTCAAGCTCAAGAACAAGGGAGTAACCATTAATATGAATAGCAAGTAGGGTTTTTTTTAGTTTTGAGATTCATGTATTTGTTTATTAAGATAAAAGAAGATAGGTTAATATATTGGGAAATTGAGTAATCTAACCCATATAAATGAAAACTTTGAAAAAAATAACCAATATTTTTTAATTTTTATAAAATTACCAGTATATCTGGAACAGGGCATTCCAGAGTGAACTACGGATGCCAGAGTAGGATTCCGGAGAAAGTGTTCCAAATTTTTTTTGAACTTATGTTTGTTAGAACATGAAAAATGATCCTTAAGAAATCCGAGTTGAAGCATGTTTGAGGTGAAAGCCTTCCGAAGTGAAGTCCATTCCGAAGTCAATATTAGTCCGAGATGCTTTGTGTTGAAATATTTTGTGTCTGTAATATGCATTTATTATTGCAAGTACTATTTTGTATTGTTCTTATTGTCTTATAGTATAGTATAAGAGACAAGATCAACAACAATGACTATGTCAGTCTATTCATCTTCATAAGTCTCACAGTCCATGCACACTTTATCAGATTTGTCTTGTAGTTACTCCTTTACTATTTAAGGTGTAGTCATCTTTGTATCAAAGTGTGGAATATGCACCTTTTTCACTTATATCAAGAGTCATTCAGTCAACCATTCTCTCTTACATTCTTTTTGTTCTTGAATCACTTTACATTGTTCATACTTATTAATTATTTATACTTTGAGCACTTTGTTTATTATCTTAATTTCGAGACAAGACTAGTTTACCAGACTTGAATGGATCTTTATTAATAATTGCCACGCCCTAAAACCGGAACGACGAAAACGTTCGAGGGTGGAGGACGTCATGTTTAGTATCACAAGACATGCATCATAGTAATCAAAGTAATAAACAACCATTTCATTAGAAAGAAAGTGTTTACAAAGTGTGTGTTCACAAAACATAGAATACATAACCAAATAACAAAACAAGACTTGAAGCTATACTGCTCCATCTTCTGAACTCCCAACGCGAGTACCTGTCTACTAGTACCCTGAGAATACAAGTTATTTTGAAAGAGTTTATCAGCAATTAAGTTGGTGAGTTCATAAGATTTTGGTGATGTAAGTATGTTGTAAAAAAAGTTTAGTAACTTGTAAGTTATGTTCAGAAAAGTTCGTATGTTCCTCCAGAAAATCTTATATTTCTTGCTTTGTTGAAAGATAAGTAAAACTGATTCTATAATCCTTTCTATGAGTACTAAATGGATACAAGTTATATATAACTCAGAGTAAACAAACAATCGATTGTGTGTATCTTCCCTAAGCCCACAACCAAACAAGGAACAGGGAATGAAGCAGATGACACACATCCCATTGGTTGTTAGATCATTTTGTATATAACCCTGGTGCACTCACTTGGTACTCACGGAGTTAACTGTAATAGTTCCTTTATATTTGATGAAAATATTCTTTAAGAAAACCCTTATTTCTTATAATAAAAATAGTAACCACAATGTTTCTTTCTATAATCACTTAGTTTATACTGGCTATATATATAATCTAATATCGAACAGATAGTTAGTTGTGTGGATCTGCCCTAAGTCCACAACCAAACAAGGAACAGGAAATGAGGCGGAAGACACACATACAACTACCTATCGGGTATTAATTATATATAACCCTTATGTATAAACTAAGGTATTATGGAGTTAACCACTTAAGGTCCTTTAAGTTATGGTGGTTTAATAAAATGGATTAAACCCTTTACTGGTAAGTTTCTAGTTTTGTATATCATAAGTTCTATTTGAAAAGTATGTTTCATACTAGAAAACTGTGCATTGAGTTACTGTCTTATGACCTGAACCATAACTGTTACCCCTCATGATGACTTAATGTATACGGAATATATATAACTAAGATCGAATGGATAATAGGCTGGGTGAATCTGCTCTAAGCCCACAACCAAACAAGAAACATGAAATGAAGTGGAAAGCATATTACCTGTTGGATCCTATTAATATATATCCCATTATGTATACATTGAGGAATAATAAGGTTAGCATTATAAGTCCCTTTCTACTGAATTTTCATGTTATGCATACGTTATGTATCTTGTTTATTATCGTCGGGTACTTCACAGATGTACCCGTTACAAATAACTTAGGTTGGATATAACTATCACCTCGTGCCTGCTAACCCTGGTATGTGAAATCGTACTGGTGTCAATGAAAACCCATAAAGATATATTATTAAGTTTATCACCTCGTGTCTACTAACCCTGGTACGTGAAATCGTACTGGTGTCAATGAAAACCCAGAAAGATATATTAACATGTTCTTCCTGGTACTTGTTATAGTATGTTCCTCTCTGTACTTGTTATCGCATATTTATCTATGTACTTGTTATAGGCATGAACTGAACCCTTAAACTATACCTATTATAGTTTACTAGTATGTACTTGAACTGTTATTGAAAAGACTCATTTTACTACTAAGTTATGATTGTACTTTAAAAATGGAGTTTTGTTAAACTATAAAGTATCTTAACTTGAAAAGAGCCTTTGAAATGTTTTGACCACTTATAAAAGACATAAGGAATCTTTTGAAAGATATTTATAACAAAAATTAACATAATTATCATTTTGTTGAACTTGTATTCCCCCCCCCCCCCTTAAAAGCATTTAAAACAGTTTAAAAGATAAATTACGGGGTATGAACTCACCTGATGTGGGTGACTCAAAAAAAGATGCGTGTAAGGATGAGAAGTTCCACGAATGAAGTCCCGAGTCTTAAAAAGTCATAAATAACATATATAATGACATATTGGTATAAATATAGTGTTTAAAAGCAACCAAACGCAAGGAAACACTTCACGGGACTAGGAAACACTTTGATCAAGTTTTGGAATCACATGTGATTGAACTAAGGGGAGTGTACGACCAATATGAGGAATGTGTGGCCATGGGTGTACAGTTAGGGAGTGTGCGGCCGCACATTCATGGTAATGAGTGCACAATAACATTTTCCAGGGGTAGGGATGATTGTGGTGTTGGATTGGTGTCTAAGTCCATAACTATTTTGGTATGTAGTTGACCCAATTATCAGCATGGTCCTTTTGGGTAGCCTTCGCCATAGAAATATGTAGGATGAATTAAAGAGAGAAAGGTTTAATTATGATTTATTAATATATTATGAGAATAATATATTAAAGGAGAAATCATATAGTTTAATTAATATTAGTAAAGAATTAATTAAGAATTAATTTTGTGGCTAAAAGAGATTAATTAAACTTAGGGGACTGGATTTGTAATTATAAGATAATTGAAATTGGGCTATGGACCATTTTACCCTTGGATCACATCAAGACATTAACAATTGATTAATGCCAAGATTTAGTCTTAATACATTAAGAAATGTTTGATGTATCCAATGTGGTTAATCTGGAGCATTTTACCCTTGGATCACATCAACACAATAACCATTGACTGCCAAATTTAATCTGGACCATTTTACCCATGCATCATGTCCAATTCATTAACCTTTTAAACACATTAATACTTCTTGGAAAGCACTCAAAACATCAAACTATCATTAATCAAAAAGATTTAGTCATAATACATCAAACAAATTACAACATTAAGGATTACATTTAGTCTTTGAATACAGCTAAACTAAGGGTTAAATTAAGGGCTAAACTACTTCTTAAACACAAACAACAGAAACAACACAATCATCACAACTTTATGAGTAAATAGCTTCCATTTGAGTTTTTCAAACTCTTGTCTAACAACCAAATTTTCTTGTTCCATCTTCATCTTACATATCCTGATCTCGTTTTCCAATATAGAAACTTTGAGGGTTAAATTGCACGGTTCTTTTTTGTCCTTCCTAGAATTGACTTCATTTTAAGGGGTTTCAGGCTCCAACCATTCCCAGAACTTGCATTGTGGTCCTTCATTCTTGAAAAAAGTAACAAATTGGTTAAATAAAGAAGATTAAATGAAAAGTAAAAAACAATTGCTTTACCATGGAGTTAGGGCACAATCTGAATTTTTTTCCTGGATTGTCTTTAGTTCGTGAAGTTCGTACACGAGATGGTAACCCACAGTAACAAGGATTTTCAGGTTGAAATTCAACATTTTGTTTGGAAGAAATAGAAGAAGAAGAAGAAGACATGTCGATCTAGGGCAAGAACGGGCAAGAAGATGCAGTACTGTAACTTTGCAATTAATAAGCCCAGTTTATGGCACATAATGCCGCGTAATATCCACATAAGTAGTAACCTACAACAACCGGTATCAAGGGCTTTGGTGAACAGGGATTATAAGTTCAATGGTATAATAAAGACAAAAAAAGATAAGGGACCTAATGAATACAAGACGAATATTTTATTACCCTCAAAGGTCATTTTCCTAAAATTAATTATAAAAATGTTGTGTTGGAATTGATTGCCAAGGTATTGAGTTTGATATTGAAATTGTGGTAACAGAGATATTATGTTATATTGTGTATGATATTGGTCAAAGATGTGGTCAACCTTGTGAATCCGTAATTTACTGTTTGAACCCGTTTTTTTTAGCCTTATCCCGCCTTGAATCCATTTGGCACTATTTGTAGAGGATTTTATAAAGGGAAAATGACCTTTGAGGGTAATAAAGTATTTGTCTTGTATTCATTAGGTCCCTTATCTTTTTTTTGTCTTTATTATACCATTGAAGTTATAATCCCTGCTCACCAAAGCCACCGTGACCAGTTATCACCTGTTTTACCGGTTACCACATTTAATTAGAGATGACATGTCTTATTACGTGGAATTAGAACACATTTAATTACCGTTTCTCTTTCACCCGTTTGTCCTTACAGTTAGGGTTCTTTTTAATTGAGGGAAGAAAAAGTTCAATCGAAGCATACGGTTAGGAAATTGAAGAGAACTGGTGAATGCGAGTGTTATAGTGAAGAAGATGGCCTCCGATTCCAAACAAAGTAAGTATTTAACAGTTTATTTACATTATAATGGTTTATTCGCACCAAAACCATTAGTGTACTTGAACGCTGTTGTTGTTTCAATCTGTGATGTCGATTTTGGTGCAATGGATTTCAAAGACTTTAACTTGTTCATTGCAAAGTTGATTGAAGGCAGTTGTGATAATGTATATTATTGCACTAGAAATGAACCATTGGCAGAGGGTATTAGGAGAATTACGAATGATGCTGACTACTTTGAGTTTATTAAAACGGGTTATAGTGATGAAGCCGGTCTAAGAATGAATGTGTATATAGACCACGAAAATGAACCTGTACTTGATTGGGCTGATGATGAAGGGCATTATTCTGAGGAAGACCTGGATGATGATAAAGATTCACAACTTTCTGATGATATTCCATATGAGCATGAAGCAGATGATTACATTCCTTCTCTTGACAAGACTATTGGTGATGAATTCTTACATCGGGTGTCAGGTATGTGTAAGGATATAAATGATGAGGCTGAAACTGATGAGGTTGAAACCAAGAATGGAGATGACAAACTAGTGTACCCTGTCCATAATGAGAACCAGAAATGGGACAAAATGGTGCCAATTCTAGGTATGAGATTCTCTAACCCCATGGAATTGAAAAATTGTTTGACTAACTATGCAGTGAAGAATGGGTACAACCTTTATTTTGAGAAAAATGATAGTCAGAGGTTATTAGTGAGATGTTGTAAAGAGAACAAGAACCCTTCTTGTCCTTTTAGACTGTGGGCTTCCTGGATGAGCAGTGAAAGGTCTTTCCAAATTAAGTCATTAGTTGATGAACATAACTGTTCAAGAGTCTTCAAACTTGGTTCCATTATAACATATAAATGGATTGGAATGCATTTTAAGAATCAACTTCTGAAGAACCCTAAAATGAGCATAAGGAAAATGAAGGCCAAAGTGAGTACAAAGTTTAACTTGATTGTTAGTGTCACTCAATGTAGAAATGCTAGGAGATATGCTTTAGATGAGATAGAGGGTAGAAAAGTTTAACTTGATTGTTAGTGTCACTCAATGTAGAAAAGTTCAATGAATCTCAAAAGATCTAGGAGTTTCAATTCATTTAAAACTTAAACCTCATTTTCGTTTTCATGGTGGAAATTGGTAAATCGTCATTTACCTACCTTCAAATATTCTGCAACTAGATTACATTATCCCTTTTCTAGGTTGTAGAGTATTGTGTTGGATCCTAGCCTTGATCTTGGGTGTTACATCAATGATTATTATCAACTGACTTGAATTTTATCCTGTTTTGTAGATGTCTAAATCTTACAATGGTCTTCCTAAATCCCTTGGAACAAGCTTTCCAAATGAAGATGACGGTCCAAGATATGATCAAGGAAATGAGAGTCATGCTTCACTTCCTCCACCTCCTCCAATTGTTCTCCCTAACCCACAAGTTTGAAGGCTTGAAAAGTTTAAGCTCACTCAATCCCTTTTGGTAAGTAAACACGAAGATGAGAAACATGTGTGTGCACACGTCTTAGAGATGAAGTCACACATTGGTAGGTTAAGGATGTTGGGAGTCGAGATTTCAGGTGAGTTGGCTGTTGATTGGGTTCTCCAGTCACTTCCTGAATCATATAGTGAGTTCGTAAGAGAGTACTATATGATAGGACACAACGTGGCCCTAATTGATCTCACTTATTTGCTTATAGCTGCTGAATCAGAAATGGTTTGGCGTGCTGGTCAAGAAAATTTGTCTGGTAAGTCAAACTCCAACGATTTAATAGACACTAGCAACATTGGAAGTCCATAAAGGATTGAGCATGAGATTGTCCAGAAAGGATTGAGCAACATTGTAATGTGCCAAATATGACCATTTGATTTTATTGCCAAGAGAAGGGACATTGGAGACGGAGCTGCACAAACTACATGAGGTATCTAAGAGATGGGATAGTCATGGTATATGGCTCTACTTCAGGTAAAATTCACTATCTAGCTCCATTTAAGTTCCTATTCTAGATTCTTAATACATGATGTGATAAGATTGCATTTTGATGTTTTGCAAGATCGAAGAAAAGAAAGGAAGCTTAAGAAAGAAATGTGTTGAATATGATTATGAAGAAATGGATTTCAATCGCATAGATTCAAAGATCAGATTTTTGAGCTGCTACTTTAGAGTTGGAATAAATTTCTTAGGAATGTGCAATAGCATAGTTTTCAGTTGAATTGCACTGTAAGGACAATTTTTTCCGCAATAAAATAAATTTTGAGTTTTATCTTATTTATTTATCCTTGCAATGGCATGTGTGAAAATGGATGTTTGTATTTTAGCAATGTTGAGTTGGATATGATTCTTGTTTTGCTGTTTGTGGAAATGTCGAGAATTTACCAAATATGGAAATATTCTCATCACCCAAATTTCAATTGGACAGAAACTTGGAATCATACAACATGTATTGTATGATGAATGAAAAACTTTCATATTTGGAAATTAGACTAATTCTTTGACAAAGTGTCAAGTGAAGGACGAGGAGATCAAGTACACTTGGTTGTGCGTTGATCAAGTCCACCACAAGAGTGATAAAGATATTCATCATAATTTACTAAAGTTTAGTAAATATGATTATACTTATAAAAATAAGTGTAATTCTGCGTTGATTGGAAGAGTTTCAATGAATAGCAGAACGAATAAGAAGAATCAAGTAGGCAGAAAGATAAAAGTTTCTATATTCTAAGAAGAAGGGAGAGTACTTTTGTTTTATAATCGTCTTAATGATTGAGAACCATATCACGATTGATCCTCTAAGTGAGTCTTAGTGCACTTGTATGTCTAAGAAGAGGAATCGAGAATTGTGGAAATGGTTAAATCAAGAAGTCAATCATACTTCGTTCCAAAATCAAGCCTTAGAGTCATACTCCAAGATTGTGACTTGAGTGCCAAGTATGAAGTAGGTTTGTAACACTTATCAAATGTAGAATAAGAAAGTTTCTTATTCTTGTACATTTGAAATTGAAAAGGTTAGACTTGATAAGAAGCTACACTAACTCTTGAATATTTGTTTTGTCAAGGAATGCTTCTTGACAAGAGAATCTTATATGTCAAGGAGTCAGTGGGAGTCTTAATGGTCTTGAAAAGGTTCACGAACAAATCAAGAGTAAACCTAGTTGATCAGCACTAACACGTGACTTGAGGTTTATAACATGTCATACTCTTATTTCTATGCCATTGCAGTTGAGTTAATTATGCATGTGAGTTATATGAGTTCTCATTTGAAGGCATAAAGAGAATGCACCTTGATCAATGGAAAGTACATTGATATGTAGAGGTGAGTTGCTTGGAAGACATGGTAGGCATTCATGCTACCATGAGGCAAGGAATCAAAATTGAACAACTTCAGTCCATATGAGCTTAAATTTGTCGCAAACCTTGGTTTTGGCAAAATTCATATGGATAGGAACACACACACTACAAAATCTAACTGATATAAGGTTTCCCTCCTTCATGAAAATGATTGTGAGGAAATGCTTTCACTAAGAGAGATTTTAAGGAGATGGTAGTTGTGTATATTATATTCTAAAATTCGATTATGATTACGGCATCCCTCTTCATAGTTCGAATTGTGAGATTTGGCAATTAGTCTGAACATTTGGGACTTAGTAACATAAGTTCTGAATTTGTTTAGACACACATGTAAGCTTTCTAAGCCAAAGGTGTATGAAGTTAAGAAGCTTAGATAAAGGCTTATCAAAGCATCAGGTATTAGAAATATGAACTTAAGGAATTCAATAAGCATTATCTTCTGGAAGTTCCATTGTTTTCTGAATACATGTCAAAGCTAATGGGAGCATAAGTGTTATGCCAATAAGGAAATAATCATCATGTTAGTGGAAGCATGGTTATTAAGGTAAGTATTGAAAGTTAGCAATATTAATTATAGAAAACAAGAGTTATACTTTGCAAAGTTGCAAGGGTTGAAAAGTTGTTTTTCTATAATTAAGGGAGAGAATATTATACTTCATTTCAAATCTAAAGGCTTAGGTTGTGGAATTTTAATCAGATTTAGTCAAATATATATGAATGTTGTGTTGGAATAGTTCAACATTAGGAAATTATATATATGGAAAGGATAATTGCATTCTCAAAATTTGGTTATGATTACGACATCCCTTTTCATAATCAAAATTGTGAGAACATGGCAATTAGAAATATTATAGCAAAAGATTAGCAAAGTATCACGTCTTTATGTAAGACATTATGAATTGTGTCCCATACGCTTCGGGTATAGGATCGATTGCATATGCTATAATGTTTGATCATTCTAAAATTTTCCAAATGCTTAGCGCATTAAGAGGGAAAAGGGACTAGAACGGTTTTTGACTGAAACTATTAAACAACTATCAAAGGATGATCTAAGTTTCACCAAGGATTTGTTGCTTGTGAGTAGTTGGAAGTATAGTGTTGGATGGACCATATCGACATTATTGTGAATAGATAAGATTCTATTAAGAATGAGTTGTCGTATGGCAAATATGGAAATGTTTCGATATTGGGAGTTGTAAATTAAGAATTTATGTCTAGATTAGAAAATTTAATGCATAAAAGGATGTTCAAAGGAATGTACTTTGAGTGAGAGACATCACCTCTATAGAATTGTTTTGTAACATTTTCTGATAGAGAACCTTGTATTTTCATTGGTAAAGTCTAGGTGACTTTTGTGCTATGACTTTACGAAAGGATCGTTCCATAAAATTTTAGAATCTAACATATTCTAGTAATGGCAAGAACGTTGTATTCTTACACTATCGTTGAGGATTAGGAATTGTGAAATGAGCATCATTGGAAAAGTTTTCAATTGATCTATTTCACAAAGCCTGGACCATAGGAAACATAGTGTGAATGCTTGGAGCATGGGCAACTATGGTTGTAATTCAAGTAATTAGTTGATTTTCTAAAACAGTAAACAATGAATAATGAGTAAACAATATGGTGTTTGAATGAAAGTGTTTTATTTACGCTCAAAAGGTTTGGGGTCATATAGGATTAAATATTATTATTGCGTTTCACTCTGCATGTTTTGACTTCCAGAATAACTGGGTCATTCGAACCTCCACAGTCGGTCATACATTGGAAGTAGGTACGAAGGAAGACTGTCATGAATCTGTCTGTAGATTATCTAGAGTGCTTAGACATAGCACAAGTTTGCTGCAGAGTTCATGAGTGCTTTGATAAGATTATATTATTGGATTAAACCCACACTCACTTGAATTACTTCATGGTTTTTATCACGAGTGATTGTGAGACAATAATATTGTATATTCTTGAAACCGGGACATGTGAGTTGTAATTACAATTCGGTTGCACATTGATAATATGTAAACGCACCAGTAACTTGGTGTTATAAAACATATTATTGTGTGTGATTTTATGAGTAAGAGCAAGCAAGCATTTGAGTCAAAGTTTGTCCATTCCTTTTACCCAAAGTGGGATAAAAGGGATATCTTTGGGCCCCTTGATGACTTAGTGATGACACCTAAGCACTTGGTCAAGCTGGGACTAAGTTATGTGTTAAATTGTAGTTTGTTGTCAGTCATCATAAATCGGATGTCGGGAAATAGTATAGAGAAAATGATCGAAATTCACGTCTCAGTCTATATGATATCTAGAATGGAGGAATATATGATCCCTTATCTAAAGGACACGCATATCTGATAAGATCAGAGTTGACATCGGCTTTTGAAAGCTACGATTACTGATCAGCTTCTGAAGTTATGCAAAATAGTTATTAGACTTATCCAAGTGGGAGACTGTTGGATTGGTGTCAAAGTCCATAACTATTTTGGTATGTACTTGACTCGATTATGAACATGGTCCTTTTGGGTTGCCTTCACCATAGCAATATATAGGATGAATTAAGGAGAAAAAGGTTTAATTATGATTTATTAATATATTATGAGAATAATATATTAAAGGTGAAACCATATAGTTTAATTAATACTGGTCAAGAACTAATTAAGAATTAATTTTGTGACTAAAAGAGATTAATTAAACTTAGGGGACTCGATTTGTAATTATAAGATAATTGCAATTGGGCTATGCACTACTAGAAAATAGACCTTTAATGATGCCCTTTTTATGACACACGCTGATTAACGATACGCACAAGGACGTGCCCTTAAAATAGTGTTATCTCTCCAAAAAATTTAAGGATTTACGTCACGCATTATTGCGTACCCTTAATTTAGTGTCTCAAGAAAAAAAAAATAGAAACACGGAGGGCGCTTTATCTTAAATGCACGTCGTTTGTACATGTCACTTTATAATTTTAATGAAACACGCTTTTAGTTAATGAAGGGGGAAACGAAATCCCCAAAATTTTGAAAACCCACCTTGTTTTTTCTATCTTCTATCTATTTTTCATCCTTGCAATCCACTCTCTCCTCTCTAATACTCTCTCCTCTAGATCTCCCTTCATTCTCTACCTCCCGTCTCTCTGTAAACCTCGAAGGTGAATCGTAATTGATCTACGAGGTCTCCTTCTTTTTCTTTGTTTTCTCAGGTACGAAATCATCCTAATCCATTAACCCCTTTCATTTTTCATTAAAAAAACCCTAATTGACTTGGCAAGTTCATGAACCAGATGTAGCACATTCCAAATTAGGGATTTAACCAAACCCGATAGAGCCATTGACAAAATCTTTGGATCCGGTCAACAAGGACTCTCTGTAATTGCGCAACTTTCTTCACAAGGGATCGCTCCAGGTCTTCAATCTATCAATCTAAATGGCCACTGTCAAGTTACATCGAATCAAGATCTAGGGTTTCAAATGCTTCAAGTTCTTCCCAAATAACTTCCCCTGTCAAGACGATTTTCCTCGATCGTATCTTTATGGCGATGATTCTCTCTCGATCGGATCAAAGACCGCTCACTCCCTCCTTAGATCTCCATGCGAGTCTGATACCCCCTCTCTGTAACACCCTCACTTTCTTCCAGAAACCGAAGACCATTCTCTCTCGATCGTATCTTTATGGCGAAATTTAGACACAATAATCTCAACATAAAATTGGTAACTGAACTCCTCTCCACCTCTACCCTACTCCATCTACAACGACTCCTCAAATTTACAAACCCTAGTCCAGTTGCACTTCTAGCCTTGGTCCTTTTTCTTCATCCGTTCAGGAAATAAGGGGAACACGACCTTGATCAGATGGATTGGATAGAGAAGATAACAGGAGTTATTTCCTCGTTGCTAAGCTCTCATGTTCCTGAGAGGGTGAGTAATCTAGTTCGACAGACATATGAAATTTTGAATATTAAATATCCTGTGTTTATGTTTATGTTTTCAGTGTTTATCTGGTAGTCCTATCGGCAGTAGCCATCATCGATCCGCCAGTGATAGCCTATCCAAACCCCGGCCGCCTATAAGTCATTTGATGAAATGCCTAAGGCAATTAAGGTATTCATTCCAACTTATCTTTTCCCGATTCATGAGCTTATTATATGTGTTTTATCATCTGTTTTCTTCAGGCGTGCTTAACAAGATCACCATTTGAACTTGTGAGATGCAAGCTGACTTTGTATTACAGTTATTGGCAAATGAATGAGGTATCCATTGACCATTGTTTGCAGCCATTAAAACTCCCAACTAAATTTACTTTTCTGCCCCTCTCTTTCCCCGATACTAAACTATAGGTGTCAATGTGACTTCCTTAATAAAGTTTATATCTTGGAATGTTTTAAACCATGTTTCTTTATCCAAAAACTAAAGATTTTAGAGCCTTTGCTTCCAAAGGGTATAATAGCCCCTTCATCCTTTGAAGTTTTGGCTGGAAATCATTCTCTTGTGACATGAGTAGTAGAAAATCGACTTCATTTTCATGTTGATTTGGCAACAGTTTAATGCTTGGGCAGGTGACTTTTTTTAAATAATATTATTATATCTTTAGTAAGAGAGTTATGCAAATGGTTAATGGAAAAAATGACAAGAAACTTTCTTCAAATATTTAATGAGAACTGTTGTTTCAGATGAATGGTTACACTTGCGAAATCTAGATTTAACTTCATTTGTTTACTAACATTAATACCAATTTCGTTTTGAATTTAGGTGATGTCTGATAGTACTCGTAACCAAGATTTAGTTAATGTGTTCAGTGGGAGAAATATCATGGATACTTTTAGTTGGAGTTATAAGTATCATGCATTGTGATTAATAATTATAAATCTCTTGTATCTCCTTAAATTTGGTACAACATACATATATATATATATATATATATATATATATATATGACATTCTAAATGTTTTTGTTTGACTTTTATATGCCTCTGGGTGGCGTTAGCTTTACTGGACTTGCAGACCCCATCCCTGAGTTCACACGGTGCAACCTCGTACCCTGCTACTGAAGTAGATGGGATGCACTGACATTACACTTCCAAGTCTCTACTCATCAAATTTAGATAAGTAACCTCAATCAATCATGGGTTCCATTAACAACGGTGGTGGTGGAGGAGGTGCGAACCACATAATTGATGCTTTTGGAAGGCTCTTGTAAGTATAAATAATAGTATATATAATCAATTTTATTAATTTCAGCTTCATTTTTTGTACTTCTTTAACATTCTGATCAAATTAATTTATTTGATTTGGAATTAATTTGTTATAAAAATTAGGACTTGTGTCTTGCGACATATGGCTTCTGAGCTAAACTTAATGATGAGGAAAGATGAGCTAAATTTGAGGTAATATTCTGTTTCATTATTGTCTTTCAAGATGGCTCACTGAAAATTGAAGCTTGGCTTTTGAAGCTTTTCTTTGATTTATAGAAATGTTAACAATTTGCGACCTGTGATAACACTATAAAGATATGAAAAGGAATTAATTTGGCCCTTTTTCTTTTACTTAATTACAAAGCTTTCTAAGACTACTCTTGATGACAAGGGCAATTATGTCCTCTGCACATACAAAAGATCAAAGTTTTGGTGTGATTGAAGTGTTTTTGGGGTTACAGGTGCATGGAATGCTATCACAGATGGACCCCGCATTGGTGAGTTATTGTGAAAAATAGCAGAAAACGGGGGCCCACTCACTCTGCCTGAAAAAATTGGTGGATCTGTTCATGTTGCTCAGATGGAAACAACCATGACAAAGGAAAGTTCTCGTCTAAGGAATGTCCAACCAGAAGTCAATGTGGATCAGAGCTATGAAGTCATAACTGAAATGGGGCCCACTCACTCTCCCTTTTCACTAAAATAGAACAACAACTTAATTAGGTTCCTCATTCTCATTCTTATACTTGTTTCTATTATTCTACATTATATGAATATGATTAGTTCAAATCCTAATAATTATTAATAAACCATTAGGGAGAATATGTGATTTTGATATCAAACCACCAAACAGAAGCAGATCCAGTTGTCATCTCCCTAGTGCTTGAAACAACAAATCCCCATATATTTGAATTCTGAAAACATAGTAAGCTTAATCATGGAATACATGATTTGAGAAAGGTTGTGAATTGTATACAATCTTCTAACATCATTTCTATGCTCACAGGATATTAAGCTTAATCGTGGAATACATGATGCACTTGCATCTGAAGAAGCTTTCTTCCAAAGCCATCCAGTAGGGCCCAATTGTGAAAAAAATACTATTTTAAAGAAATGGTGGCAATGTTGAGAAGTTGTTAAACCTTTCTTTTTTTAAGAAAGCTAAAGCTCCAGAACTCTCTACCAAGAAATTATTTGGTGACTTGCCACGACTTTGGCATCGTGTCAAAGCCCCCCATGTATGCATCCACCGTATAATTTATAAAACTGTATTTTCACATTTATTTATATATAATTCATAAATATCCATCTGCAGCCAAAAGATGCTGCCCAACTGGCACTTAAAAAGATGCCTTCAGCCGAGCAAGAAATCATATCAATGGTTACAAGAATCATTTTTGTTTTTTTTATTTTCTTATCTAATTATAGTTTTTGTGTGTCTAATTCTTTTTTCTTGTTGATGATGATAAACAGGGTGAGTATCAGCAAGGTGTTGGTGCTTGGATTTTTGACCTTGAAGATTTAAAATTCAAAGCATCCTTGGTATTCATCTTAATTATCATAGATATTGTTTTTTCTTTTTCAAATTTACATCCTTTATATGGTAACTGTTAAATAATCGACTATAACTGAAATGTTCGATTGTTCATATTCAACGGAGGTGCAAGATGATGACGAAATTCAAGATATCAGGGACCATGATGTAGATTCAACTTCATTTGCCAATAATGTAAGGATAGATACATACATACATATATATATATATATATATATATATATATTATAATATTATCTAAACTTTGGAATGTTAACTTTTCTCTGTTATAGGAAGCATCCAATTCGAAGGCTACTACTATTGGCAAACATTCCACAAGCGACATTGAATCTAGGTCGATGTTTATCCTGTAAGTTTTATTTACAAATTATTCTTAATTTTGTTGTTCTTTTTATATTAGTATTTAATGTTTAACTGTTTTTCCTTCAGTGATGAAGTTGTCCCATCTGAATCCCTAATCAATAAAGAAAGTAAACTGCCAAAAACTGATGATAAAGGAAGTATTATTGTTGAAGAAAAAAGCAGAAAAGAAACAAAGAAACCACAAGCAGATAAAGAAGCAGCAGTAGCACAGAGTGCACCTCTTGTGGCTGCTATAGTCTTGAATCATTCAAAGTCTGGCAGGACTTGTACTTTAGAAAGGTTTTTACTTTTCTTTCATTATTGATTATATTTGTAAATATTATATCTTCTTGATTTCATTGTTGTTGTTAATAATAGGTGTGAAACTGAAAGCTCACAATTTGTTGATAAAATCCATCATCAGCTCTAATTAATTATGGGTTCCCAAGTATTTATGTTGCTGACCCTTTTCATTTCGTGATCAAATGAAATGAATTTTGTTCAATATATTTTGTTTTTGAACCAATGATTAGGTTTTTACAAATCTTTCTTAAAGCATATGGCACTTTGGTTTATTATATTTTGTCACGTCAACGGTAAGTTTTCTGTCTTGAGCTGTTTATATACTATTGGTTCCCTTCAATTACTCATCTCCATTATGGAATTCAAGTCGTGCATAATATCAATTAGTTATGTGCCAGGGCAGCCTTCCAGGTCTGGTGGTATGTTTTGTGCTGATTAATTGTCTCTCTCTAGATATGTATATGTATAGAAAGGAATTTTTTAACATGAACAAGGATAAAAGTGTAATGGTTTGGTTGGTTTTCTTTTCTAATTTGAACTGCCAGACACTCCTGCAAATTCCAAAGGAAGATGGCACAGGTAAGGAGTGTCCTTTGGGAGTTGCCCTTGAGGCCATCAAAAATACTTTGATTCAAGGCAATACACAACTCTTATTGGTAGATCATTTTGATTCCACTCTCATACATACATACCATGTGTATTATTAATTAATTGATATTGATATTGTACAACTGACATGATTATTGTGTAGGATTTCTGTGTTGTTCTTCATTAAGAATTGGGATTCATATTTAAGCTAATAGACATGATCATTGGTTGGATACATGAAGGGTTTCAAAGCTTCTTATGACAGCTTAATGATAAGTTACTTAAAAAAGAAGGTGCCCTTTATAATAATGTAGTATTAGGTTATATAGTTAGGGAAAACCTTTTAATAACAGTGTACAATCAGATCCCTTTAATATCAATGTATTACAATGTATTATATTTTTGTATATGGTATTTTATTTTCTATTATGAGACGTGAAATGCAAATTTAATTTGAAAATCAGTAAATCTATAAATACTTTTTTTATAAAAAAAATTAAAATTACGATACGCAAATATGTATGTCGTCTTCATTTATGACATGGCCTTTCTTGACAGGGGCTTCCTTGATACGCATTGCGTGTCATAAACACGCGTGTCGTAAGGTTACGACACACAAATGTGTGTTGTCTTCCTTTATGATAGGGCCTTCCTTGATACGCATTGCGTGCCATAACCGCGCATCGTAAATGCGCATCATAAATGCGCGTCGTCTCTCTTTATGACAGGGCCTTCCTTGACGCGCATTTGCGCGTCGTATGAGCGTTTTACGACGCGCAATGAGCGTCATAAAAGGTTGTTTTTCTAGTAGTGATGGATCACCTAATAATATAGGTTGGACGAATTATATGGGAAACCCATAAGGAATTCGTCCAAGGGATATAATTAAAGGAATCCATGGACTGCTTAGGGCCTAAGTAGTCAAATTAGGGTTTCCTAAGTTCAAAACCCTAATAACCTAAGTATATAAAGACCCCTAAGGATCCAAAAACATGGGGAATGAATCCTCTAGGGTTTCTAGTCGTTTTGGGTGCCTCCTCTTTCCTTCTTCTTCATCTAGTTGCTTAGTGGTGTTTGCGACTCCATTAAAGGTGCAACACTTGAGGCACTAAGATTTCTGAAGCCAAGGAATTAATTGTTATTGCTATATAACAATCAAAGGTAATCTCTAAACCTTATTTCGATTCATAATATGTTAGATCTAGGGTTTATGGATTTGGATATTCAACTGCATGTTCATTAGACAAACTAGATCCAAAAGATATTAGGGTTTGCATGTACACCATAGGAATGATGTATTGCTCGAAACCCATCACGTGGGACAATTTCTTATCAAGTCTTGAAGCAAGGAAGGCACTTTGGAGGCCCTTAAGCACAAAACAAAGGGGTGTACGACCACATGGAGTGTGTGCGGCCACACACTCCTTGATGAACTTGATTTGGACGTTTTCTAAGGCTCGTATCTAGTAAGTAACAAGCTTAGGGGATGGTACTTACAATATGGAAGCCTTTAGGGGTGTTTTGAGGGGTTTACGGCCACACATGGGTGCACGGCCATACACACCTTATCATCATAAGTTCTGGCCATTTTCAAGGGCTTAAACTAGTGTTCTAAACAAGATTTAAGCATTGGGAAAGAGTACTTACGATATGAAGGTTCAAAAGGTTTCACAACCACCAAGAATAAATGTGTGCTCTTGGTGTTCTTGGTAAGATTTGAAGATCTATCCAAAACAGATGTTTTCATGGATGAATCAAGAGGTGATTACAAGGCTAGGAAGGGTAACAATAAAGATGTAAGAATCACTTACCATTTTTTGAAGATCAAGTTGAAGAACGGGATGATAGTTGAGAGAGAAATCGATGTTCTTGACTTGGGAAACTGAAGAATGACTTGAAAATGAAGGGAATACATACTTAGGGAGGGGTGTGTACGGCCCAACATGGGTGTACGGCCGTACACTCCCTCAAATGGAGTGTACGGCTGGATTTCGGTGTTTAAAGTGTATGTGATCCAATCCTTTACTCAATGCTTGAATCTACTGAGCTTTGAACCTTTGAATGGACTCTAAACAAGACTAAATGATAGCAGAAATGAGTCTGACACTCAGTTGAGTTCACTGTTGGACTTAAAAAGCAAAAAAAATTCGGGTTGTCACATCATCCTTCCGTTAGAATGAATTTCTTCCCGAAATTAGCTTTCTTATAAGTACTACTAAGGTTGCGCTCCTTTGATGTGCAGGATACTCACTCGTAGACCTGGCAACTTTGCCCTAATATCCATGATAGGATTCATACTTGGTCCATCTATCATTACCTCGTGTATACAAGTCGTATATAATTAAGATTAGTTAGACGGTTGGAAGTACGACTCTGCCCCAAGTCCACAACCAAACAAGGAACATGAGATAGGACGGAAACACACATACTAAATATGTGTAATTGTAATCATATACCACCCTCACGTATACACTGAATAGTGATAGGTGGGCTGTATTCATCCTTAGCCTCTGTGCTCGAACTTGGTCTATTGGACGAGTGGTATTTCGGAAAGTCCTGTGGAGTATAAGGTGACAAGGCTTCAGAAGGCAAGGTACTCTTTGCGTGAGTACTTCATGGTTTAGAATACGAAAGAAAAAACTGAGTTTTAGGTCGGACTATCGATACGAACGACAAAGGTTTCGCGAACTGACGATCGAGGCGTTGGAAACATATGAACTTAGTATGGTGAGGACCACGCCAATTCATGACGAATGATAGTAACAAACTCTTTACGGAACAAAAGTTTCGGCCGATTTGAAAGAAACGTCAGATATTCGATGTTGTACTCCTAATGTTTTCGACAATGTACTCCTAGTATGTTCGACAATGTACTCCTAGTGTGTTTTGTTATGTTTTATACAAACAATCCTATGTGTGCATGCAACCCTAGTTTGGATCTATGTTTTCACTATAAGACATACAACTATATGAACACAAAATAAACCCTAGCATGCTTCTATAATTTTCGAAATTTACATAGAAGTGTAGAAAACATACCTTTGTTGTTATATAGCAATAAAAACTAGTTTCCTTGATCTCTTGAACTCTCTTGAACTCTTGAAAGCAAGCACCACAATTGTAGTGCCTCTAATGGCTCACAAACACCTTGAAGCAAGAAGGCAACTAAGGGAAAGAGAGGAATGATGCTAATTTTGGCCCTAGGGTTTCCTTGGAATCAAGTGGCCTTAAATTGAAACATAGGGTATGTATTTATACTATGGGGTGCTAGGGTTTCAGTTAAAACCCTAATGGACAGCTTAGCCACCAAGCAGCCCAAGGAACCTTCTGGAATGAGGCCTTGGACGAAAATATGATGATCCTTCATCATAATTTCGTTCCCCCTTAGTCCATTAGGTTTCCTAGCCCAAAACTCAACTATCACACATTTGACAGTTTATACCCCTTTATTTAATTTGTCTCTTTTAGTCACCAAATTAATTCCTAATTAATTTATGACTAATACTAATCAAATAAATATGATTTCTCTTTTAATATATTATTCTTATAATATATTAATAAATCATAATATCTCCTCTCTCATATTAAATTACCTTGTCAAGTTGCTTTGGTGAAGGCAACCCAAAAGGACCATGCACATTCGGGTCAAGTACATACCAAATATTGTTACGGACTTAGACACTAATCCAACAGTCTCCCACTTGGATAAGTCTAGTAACTATATCTCACATATGACTTCTGTACCCGATAGCAATCGTAGCTTCCAATAGCCGCTGTCAACTCTGACCAATAATCTGTCCTTTAGATAAGGGATCGTATAATCCTCTGTTCTAGATATCATGCTAACAATACTTATTGTCTAGTATTTTATTTCTTGATCTCTGATTTGTTCGACATAAAACTCAGTTGAACACATCAACTTCATCTTGACCGGGCCCGGCACATAAGTCAAAACAAATCATCAAGTGGCCAAGATATCACTTTTATCCTCATAGAATAAAAGGAACAGAAAAACGTTGACTAATATGCCTTTATCATTTACTAGTTAAACCACTCACAACAATACGTTTTATAACATCAAGTGACTGATGCGGTTTTTCGCATTATCAATGTATAATCAACTAGCAAACAATAACCATATCTCTATGTTTAAAGATTATATGATATTATCATCTTGCAATCACTTGTGACAACATTCATGAAGTGATACAGCAATTGTGGGTCTATTCCAATGCTCAATACAAATTTCATAAGCACTCATAAACTTTGCAGCAAACCTTTGCTATGTCTAAAACTTTTCAGACAATCCACAAACAAATTTATGACAATCTTCCTTCATATCTACTTCCAACATATGAGCGATTGTGGACTGTTCGAATAATCTTATTATTCAGGAAGTCAAAACATGCAAAATCGAAACAATAGATAAATAATCAACACAAGATAGAAACTTTCTTATAAATAACACTCATTTATTTAACCATCCATTGTTGAATATAACATTATCTATTACAAGTTTCCTACCTATCTAATCTAAAC